GACGAAAGTTTCCGATCATAAAAACCATCCCAAAGTCATCAGTTGACAATAAGTTTCCATGTTCTTATATAAGGACGGGTCTCTACATCATGATTACTCGTCCATCATATTGGGGGCAAAATGGTGGGTTGCGTGATGCCACCCAGTGTACGATAACAATAATTAAAATTTGGCACGTCGACCCAGGCAGTCCAATGTAGTGTTTTCCATCTAGCGATGCTTGGTCCCCTTAGTACTGAGGTTTGGTCGTCTAAGACCAAACTCTATCTCATATCTGGCAGAAGCCAACTACCAAGGCCTAATCGTTGAAGACTAAGGCCTGGTCCTACTGCGCCTACATAAATGAGTAGGTCTCTACCCATCAAGAAGATCACTACCAACAAGGGGGTCTTTACCTATTGGTAAAGCCTCTACCACTGAGGATGTCTCTAGTAATAGAGTCTCATTACTCCATCCGTTCGTGCAATTAGGGTAGCCTTCTACACCCAAGAATGTATCAAGACTTTCAGGTCTAAGGAGGTCCAATGTCCCTCAAGATCCCATGTTCAATGAGGTCTGTATTCCTAAGTAGGTTCCTAAGTTAAGGGCTATCTTGGACCCAATGAGGTACTGGCCACCAGACCATCATCTGTCAGCCGTTGGGTACCACGCCCTTATCCACCAAGCATCAAGCCAATCGCTGGACACCAAGCCTCCACCTATCAGACGACAGTCGTTACTTCTCTTCCTTTATAGGAATTGCCTATCGACTTCAGATTATGCAAAAATTTGGATTGATAATCCATTCCAGGTTAATTTTCAGTAATAATTTCTAACACAATCTAATATTTTTAGATAACTGTAAATTGTTATAGCACCAGGCACCCCATCCGCTGTATAAACGTTTATAGAATGGGTCATCACCCAAGATCCCACCATCGGGGGTAGAATAGTGGATCACACGATATCAATTGTCAATCTACATATGATGACAAGGTTTAGAAGATTGACGTACTAACCTTGGTATATTGAGCTAGTCGGGTTTCTAGTCTCTCTCTTTTAGCGACCCCTCGGGGGCACTAGTCGTCCAAGACCGATGCCCGATCCTCCGAAACCATAACCTAGTAAGTCTCTACACACCAGGAAGGACTCTAATTCCAATAAATTTTCTACAATCAATAAGTCCACCATGTCCAAGGTGGTCCATGAGGTTTTTAACCATCAAGCACCAATGATGGTCTTTTCTACCAAGAACCAAGCTTAAGTCACATGCACTTCAAATTTGACGGGTCACTACCACCATAGCCACAAAACAAGGCAAGTATAAGGGATAAGTCCACGAAAGTGAAAAACTTTGACTCCCTTATTAAAGGGCAAGCATATAAAGCTTGGACAAAACATTCCATTATTAAAGGGGCGAGCTGGGTGAAGCTCGTAAAAAATAACTTTTTATTAAAAGGCCGGGCTGAATGAAGCTTGAAATTATTATTTCCCTTATCAATAGGGCATGCTGAGTGAAGCTTGAACATATTACAAACCTCTTACCAAAGGAGTAAAAATGACTACTTCCTTTTTAAAAGGGTCGAGACATTAATGGTCAAACAGATCTAACTCTAGAAAGAGAAAATAGTTCTAACACCAAAAGTTAGATCATAAGGGTACAACCCTTGGTTATCATAAATCAAGGCTTGGTTATCCGAAACCAAGGCCTAGTCAACCAAGATTAAGAATTGATTGCCCAAAGTCTACAAAGGCTCGGTCATCCAAGATCAATGCTTGGTCACCCCAAGTCTGGTCATCAGAGACCAACACCAGGGCCTAACTGACAAAAGTATGGTCATCAGAGATCAAGATTTAACCTACAAAGGTCAGGTCAAAAAACGATTGTCCTCATAAGTTCTTGAGAAGTTCATCTTTAAAGGGACGATGTTTATTGATCGGTAATTTATTGTTTTTAATGGAGGGTAGCTTCCTCACGTGTTACACCTATGTGGTAATTAATGCTTTACGAAAAGCTAACAAAAAACTTAATTCCCTTACTAAAGGGACGAGTTGAGTGAAGCTCGTAAAACCTAATCCCTTATTAAAGGGACGAGCTGAGTGAAACTCGTAAAACATAATTCCCTTACTAAAGGGATGAGCTGAGTGAAGCTCGTAAACCCTACTTCCCTTACTAAAGGGACGAGCTGAGCGAAGATTGTAAAATTTAAGTCTCTTAATAAGGTGTGACGAGCTGAGTGAAGCTTATAAAATTTATTCCCCTGCTAAAGGGATGGGCTAACTGTAACCCATAAAGTTTAAAACTAGTATATTGGATTTTCAAAAGAAAAATCCAGTTTTACATCAATAAGAGTCATTGATTAAGGGTTTGAATTCATGGCCTTCCAAAACAGAACCTTGATTTGGTATCTGTGTTAATTCCATCATTGGGAAGAGTACCCAAGAAAGCATTACCCAAGGGAAGAGTACCCAAGGGAATACTATCCATGGGAAGATTACCCAGGGCAAAAAAAAATAAAAATAAAAATAAAAAAATACTGTTCAAATGAACAGTACCTGCGAGCACTTTTCCCGAGGGAACAGTGTCAAGGGCAAAAAAAAAAAAAAAAAAAAAAAAAATCACATTCCCAAAGTTAGACGAGCAAGTTTGGGAATGGGGGGCAACTGATAGGGAAAAATAATCCTAACCTACCTTGACCTAATGACAGAGGCAACTAAATGTTGACCAGCCGCCAGACCTCTTCGACTTTCGAACGATGATATTTCTATTGGATAAGAATGATAATATTTCATTAGCAAAGATAATGAAAGATGACGTGGTTCAACAGGGTAATGATAACCTTGGCACAATTTGAAGAAATCAAAGGAGTAAATCATATCCCCGACAAATCTAGCAACAAACGGATCTCCTCTGATCTTGCACAAGCGGATGATAAGGGAGACCTCAACCATCGACATCGGGGGGACCAATTTGATTCCAATCGACAGTCATAAATAGGGCATCAAGCCATTAAAAAAGGTACAGGAAAAAACCCCTCAATAGAGATTATATAATTATTATGTGATACGATTACAAGTATTAATTTGATTGTCGGAGGGTTCTCGGCTGGCACCTCACCGATGCCATTCAAGGTGACGCCCCATTTGTTTTGCAGGTAAACGCCGTCGTTCCGAGTTGCGAGGATTTTCGAATGAACAACTACTATCCATATCCAACTCCTTTTAAAATAAAATAAAATTAACAAACAATTTAAATACAAATAAACACATAAAATTTAAACAAATACACAATTAATTACATAATCATATCACACAAGTACACACAAATAAAACATACCATACACATCAAACAATTAAATCATTTAAACATATAACACATAAACACAGAGCCACATAAACAAATAGCCACATAGTTAATTAAAATGCAATAAAATAAAGGGCTAAAATCTGAAAACTCCCCTATTGTTTACAAAAACTATCTACTAACCCCTTCAACTACATAAACTATAATATTATCTCTTCCCCGTTAGTTGACCATTTAAAATTAACGGATTTTAGCACCTTATATTACATTACAATGACTAAAATACCCTCCTTTTTTTCTTCATCGTCCTGCTATCGGCGACTGTACAATGTCTCTTGGGTGTCTTTTTTGACTCGGCGCAGGCAGTGAGGAACAGCGGTGGACAGTGTTTTGTGATCAGTGATAAACATATATATATATTAGTTTTCAAGATTTATGAACATAAACAATCTTTACATACAATAGCAGATGCACTCATTTAAACAAATGCAACTGGAAACTTTAACCCCAGACTCAAATAAGGATTTCTTTTTCGCCGATCACCACGATTTTCAGACTTGACACGCATAAGGAAACAATAAGCAAATTGTTGACACTTGCGGATTCCTTTCTTGAAGATACAACCTGTTTTCATTCGACTTTTTGCCTTTGATACAATCGAAGTTTGAGTAATCGGAATGGAGTCGCCAGAGAGACGGAGAAGATAACCGGAATTGCGATGGATTTTCTGGCGACTCGCTCTGCAATTGTTGTGAGTGCTCTGGCAAATCAATACTCGTTGATGTATATATATATATATATATATATTAGGGACAATAAAATTAGAAGGTGATCTAGCGAGTGGAATTGAATTTGAAGAACGGCCAGTCTCTCCTGCTTCTTGCAACACACAGACACCGTCGTCATGGCGGTGGTGGCGTTGCTTATTGCCACTGTTGCGTGGCTGTCGCTCGTCTTCTCCGGAACCACCACACCTCGCTGGCACCGTTTCACGCGCTGGGAAGGAAACCCTAATGGAGCCGATGAAGATGGGCAGGAAGAAGGCCCAATTCAGCGTTCACGTTCCACGGCGTAGGAATTTTTAATTCCCTTTTTAATGAAAAAAATAATTAACAGGTGTAAAGTTGTAAATTTTATACATTTTTTTTATATTTAAGAATTGATGAAATAATATAGAGAAGTAATTATATAATAGGCACCTCTACAGTCTCCTATAATTATATAATTATTATAATTATATATAATTATAATTATATAATTATAGTAATTATATTTATATAAATATAATTACTATAATTATATTTAAATAAATATTAATATACTATTAAGGGTATTCTTGTCATTTTGCAAGAATTTAAAGATTTGTGACTGAATGGGAGCAATGTGATAGTTTATGTTATATCAGGGAATTTTTTAATACTCGAGGGGGGTTAGTAGATGGTTTCGATAAACAAAAGGATAATTTTCAGATTTTAATCTTAAAATAAATAATTAAATCTCATTTATATTTTTTTAAAAATTAGGGGTATTATAAATAATAATATATAATGGTAATCGAAAAAGAGTAAGTTTCTAAAAATATAAAAAGAAAAATTTAATGAACTAAGGTTAAGATTAAAAGTGAGCGTACAATTCCCTACTTACCTGCTTCAGTTTGATAAGAGAATAGCCATACGATATTTACACAACACATCCATAAAGGTCAATACAGATGCAAGAAAGGCAAGCCATAAAACGGCATATAAATCCTGAAGCAAAAATAAAAAAAATGAAGACCAGACTCTAAATTTGCTGAGAAAAATAACGGAAACCACCAAAGTGAGATGAGCAGCAAAGGGAGTGACACAAAGGTCAGGCCATCATCAAGGCAACAGCTCCAAAACTACATCCATAAGGTGCCTTCAACAGGTAGAAAAATCAACCAAACCCCGCACAAGTCGGGAACCACAAAAGCCGATATAGATCTGAGATCTAGATGAGATCTGAGAACGAGCCGGGGACAACAAAAACCGACATAGATCTGAGATTTAGTCGGAGAAAGAACAACAGATCCACCTAGTCTAGTCGAAAACAAGACAAACATAAGCCGATATAGCAAAACAATAGCAAAAACGGAGTGAAAACCACCAACAGATCGAGCATACTTATTATTACACGCTAATTTTATTTAGTCCGTGGAAGACAAAAAACATCACCTCCCCACTCCCATGGAAGGGTGCAGGGAGAAAACCAGATGGGGAAGATGAAGTGGGAGGCGGCTAAAAGGGTGGGTCGGTGGAGGGTTCTAGAGAGAGAGAGAGAGGGTTATGTGTTTTCACACAAATTCAATTATATTTATCAGCAATCTGCTGCAAAGTGATGTAAAGCTCGAATGGTTTTGAAATCATGGGCATATGATCAGATCCAGTTATGTACTTCACTTCTTTAGGAGGACTATTCTGAATCATATATTTCTGGAAATCCACTGGCTGGATTTGATCATCTCCACTTATTATAAAAACCCGAGTGACCATCCCGAATTTGTTGTGTGACAGGAAAGGCTTGCTCAAGTCGTTCAAGTAAAACCCAGTCGGCCTCACCAGCATTTTCCCTAATTCAAGGTCCTGCATGCAAAGATACATGAATAGAGACATGAAGAAAAACAAGAGCTAGGTGTTGTTAGCTAGGATTTATTCGTCCGAAATTGCCTGAGATCGAACCTAACCTTCGTTGGGGAGTCATTATAAAGCCCAGTTGCAAGCACTTGTGGACCAAGGAGTAGCGATACTATCTGATGATTTGAATCATAAACAATTGTGGAATCCAAGAAAGGGTTTGGCGAGGTCCTCTTAAAATACTGATCAAAATAAAAAATAAAAAATTAAAAATTAAAAATTAAAATTAAAATTTTTAAAAAAAAAAATGAAAAAACAAATGTATTAAGAGATAGAAAAAGAAAATACAAATATTTACCCAAAAAAAATAAAAAAAACAAGTAGAGATTCACTAATAAACGAAAAGGATATAAGATTTGTCATGGTTTAACAATTAATCCACTATAAATTTAGTAAAATGAGTAGCAAGTAATGCCCAAAACCCACACATTAGAAACTAAATTCCGGCCTAGCATATATATATACAGTCAAGTCCTTATTGGCCTACTTGTTCAAGAGTCATAAAAGCTACACGCCTAATAGAATCATTCATATTTATATATACGCACACACACTAATGATTACGGACAAACTTATTTACAAGGGTGTTCTTATTCAGTTAATTGTTAGGGAAAATATACAAATTCTTTGAATAAAATAATTCTTTGTTTTGAGGTAAAATATTTTTTTCATTTTTTCAGATAAAATATTTTTATTTTTATTTTTTGCGGTTTGGTAAAGATTTAAATCGAAATTGGGGTCAAGTCTATTGAGTGAGTGTGTAACAAAATGCATGAATTTTCATGATGCAATTATTTGCCGAATAAGCAGAATATTTAAGGCTAATAGAGATTTTCTTACTTCTTGAAAAAGGGTAGCTGGTGGAGCAATGTAATTCGGCATCAATGCAGCCAGGAAAACTGCAACTGAGATCTTCTCGGGGAAGCGCTCCATGGCTAAAGAAATGCAAAGGCCACCATAACTGTGAGCAACTAGGACCACCTTCTCCCCTTTAGGCAGGGAGGCCATGAAGTCCGTCAATGGTTGCGCATACTCAAAAAAGGAGGCCACCTCATTGAGCTGCCTCGGGTTCACCCCGTTTGCAGCAAGGTCCAAGGCTGTGACATGGTGGCCGGCGGATTTGAGCAAGGGGACAAGCTTGTACCAGGACCATGCTCCAAGGTTAGTCCCATGAACTAGAACAAAGTGCTTGCCTGTACTTCCCATTTCTTGTTCTACTGGCCGTTGCTTTGTTTTCTTAGGTACCTAGATTTATATATGCTACGTTTTGAGGAGAAATTATTGAACTGAACACGTGATCTAGGACTAATAATCGAAGGTAGGAAGAAAGGTGTAAGAAAACGAAATTTGTGCCCATTGGTTAGCGTGCCTGATGTGAGGCCCAATGTTGACGCAATCAACTACATCACAATACCTTTATTATTTCATGTAATACCAAAGCTCTATCTTCCACTATGGATTGTATGGCTGATGCGAGGCCCTATGCTGACGGAGTCAACATCATCATCTCACTTCCTTTTGTTAGGTTTTTACTGTATAAAATTTTAAAACTTCATTTTACTATTAAATAAAGGAGGTGTGAGTAAATATGAAAATGTGTTTCTAATAAGGATTATGTCTATTGATTAGAGGTATGAGATAGCCTATAAATATATGGTCTTTTTAATAAAATAATTAATGATTAACTTATATTCTTATATGTTCCTCCTCTATTCTCTTCCTGCAACCTATATATTATATTATATTCTTATCTTTTAGTATTTTGGGCAACATGACACTACAAGACTTGGCAAATGTTCTTCTGTGAATGTGTGCATAGAAGACACTGGAGTTATATGTTGGAGCCTTTCATAGTCGTCACAACCTGCACGTAGGGACGCTGTAAAGGCTTTAGAATAGCGCATATTGTGTGCCTCTCCATTACACAAGCCAAAAGTTTCTTTACTCTTCTCTTATTGGTTTTATATATTTTACAGGCCTATTATTTTATATATTGTTTTATTTATACTATATATATTGCGATATGATTACACTCTGAAATGAATATAGAAGTGTTTTAGTTAAAGTGCATTTTAATATAATTATGTGATTAGACTTAAAAATGAGATTGTATGAAAATATTCAAAATCCCCAACGATCTAAAGCCTTTATCTCTTGCCCTGTGATTTTTATTGCTTTATATGTGAAGCATTATCAATGTTTCTTTTTCTTTCTTTTGTATAATATTTTATATTCTGAAAGTCGATTGGCTTATAGGGAAACTGTTTAATTCATTCTTTTAACATATACAATTGGAGTGGCAACCATGTTTTAGAATTTTAAGTGGACAAGAACATTGTATTCTTATTATAGTTTCGAATTCTGATTGATAAGGGTATTATGATAGTTTTCTTCTTTAGCGGTTGAGTTTAAATATTCTTAAACGTTTGGATAAAACCCTAAAACTGTTGAATACTGTATTTAAGTATCATTTCTCCATCAGATATGGTATCAAGTTTAGAACATCGAACTTTTTAATTATAATAGTAGAATACTTTGTAAGTGATAATTCATGATGCGTGCAACTATTATATTGTAATTAGTAATTCATTTATAGAGTCATACGATTGTTTAAACATTACAGTGTCTATTTTATCTACTAAACAAACTATTTGGTGTAATTACCAATCCCATTAACGATTGATAAGAAAAATAAAGTGTTTTATTTTAAAATACCATTAGACATAAAATATGGAAACTCACATTCTTTTAAAGACTCGAATAAATGTTTTATTGTGAATCCGAAATTGTTCAAGTATAAAAATAATGAAAAGTCGTGTCTCTTCAAGAAGACATATTCAAGTAAACAACTTTTCATTCTCAATCCTATCATAATTGGAAGTCTTTACAATGTGATACAAATATGCATCATAATTGGAAGTCTTTACAATGTGATACAAATATGCATAAATTCTAAATTTTGTCTTGTTAAGAATTGAAAACATTGGAGAGTGACCTATTCTTTTTTCAAAAAAAAAATGTTTAAATTTAAAAAAAAAAAAAAAAAAAAAAAAAAAAAAAAATTCATTTTGATTTCAAATAGACAAAGAGTTGTGTTTTAGAAAAGTCATGTCTTTTGAATTTCGGATCCTAAAAAAAGTTTCTTACCGTTAGAAAATAATTTACTGATATACAGTCCTACCAAAACATTACTGTAACCATTATTTACTTACTTCGTTAAAATACATTCTCTAACTATAAGCAACGTCGATTTAGCCGTATGTAAGAGTGAGTAAGAGTAATTCGATTTTTGTGAAATGGTTTCATTTGGAGAGAAAACGTTTATTTTCAACAAAAAAAAAAGGGATGGAAAATTCTATTTGAGATGAATTGCTTTTATCATCCATTCTATTTTGACCGTATTTGAAATACACACAGTTGTATTTGCAACTATTGGGTCTGATTTTAAAATAAATACATTAATGAGTAAGATGTTTAGACCTGAGAACAGTCATATTTTATTCAAAGCACTAGTTTGATTGGTACATTGGTGCTCAAGCAGTTGTTTGAGTCCAAACTTAAATGAGTCATCTTCTTTGCTTTAGTTAATATCACCAGTGTGCTTTAAAATTTATTTCTACAACATTTAATCTTATAATTATGTATTGATTCAAATATAAGATTTTGTGTTCCTATCTTTCCTCATCATATATTTTATAATCTTGAAATGTGGGGGTATACATACACTGTAATTATATGTTTATCATTATTATGAAAATTATTGTGATGAGATTTGCATAAATTAGAGACTCTGAGTGTGCAACTTGATGCAGTGATTATGTATAGAGATGTTTATATATTTAAAGTATGTACATATCATTTTACGGTAAACCACTGTGTTGTTCTAGCCTTTGAGACAAGTTAACAGTTGATTCAAGTCAATGGATAGTGATAGAAGTTGGAAGATGTACGTACTTCAAAGATGCTTTAAAATAGAAAGACTAACTGTCTTTTCTTTCTTAGAGTGTAGTCCTAGACAATCTCTAGAGAGAGAAAATAATAATGAGACTGAAGATGTCTTATTTTTCTAGGAGCGTAGTCCTAGACATGTCGAGGGGGATAGGTTTAAGTCCCAAGGGAGTCACCTTCGGAAGTAACCTGTCCTTTGTGATTGGAGATCCCATGAATTAGGTTCAACAGGTAGAAACAATCCGTATTGCGTGACTTATTTACAGCACTTTCTTATTAGGAGGTTTCTTATGAAGATCCACTATTACCCATCCCTATGGCACCAGTGTTGCTTAGTGTGACGTCAGGAAAGGCATTGCCCTAAATGAGCCCGAGGCAAGCAAACTCTTGCAAGGTATTAGTCACATGTACCTTTGGAGGACTCACCTAAGTGAGAGTAGTTGTAAGGCCACGACTGTGAGAATTGGGCTATTCTCTAGTAACTGTTATGAGAATCAAGGTACCAGCGCATGGCCATTAATAGCGCTACACCGCTAACCAAGTCTTAAGTAAATATTATGTGTGCTACATGTTGAAGTTTGATTAAAGGGGCGGAGTTCAAAACCTAGTCTATTGGGTTCCTCAGATGGAAACTGTAACACAAAGTGCAAGTTCAAGTCCGGAAGACTCTTGCACCTATTGCAGAGTATTCAGTTGCCCTAATTGTTTTATTTCTTATATACTTACATTTATTTTTTCACATATTCTTTTAAATTTTTTAAAACTTGTGGGGGAGTATTAGGTTTTTTACCATATAAAGAGGTGTGAGTAAATATGAAAATGTGTTTCCGACAATGGTTGTGTCTATTGGCTAGAGGCATGAGGTAGCCTATAAATATATGGTCTCTTCAATAAAGTAATTAATGATTAACTTATATCCTTATACGTTCCTTCTCTATTCTCTTCCTGTAACCTATATATTATATTATATTCTTATCATTGGGTATTTGGGGCAACATAACACTACAAGACTTGGTAAATGTTCTTCTGTGAACGTGTACATAGAAGACACTAGAGTTGTATCTTGGAATCTTTCACAGTCATCACAACCGGCACGTAGGGAGGCTGTAAAGGCTTTAGGATATCGCATACTGCGTGCCTCTCCATTACACAGGCCAGAAGTTTCTTTACTCTTCTCTTATTAATTTTATATATTTTACAAGCCTATTACTTTATATATTGTTTTATTTATACTATATATATTGTGAAATGGTTACACTCTGAAATGAATATAGAAATGTTTTAGTTAAAGTGCATTTTAATATAATTATGTGATTAGACTTAAAAATGAGATTGTATAAAAATATCCAAAATCCCCAACGCCTTTACCTTTTTCCAATGCCGTGTCTTCCCCTGTGAGTCTTCCCATTATTACTTCCCACTATTACTTTACCTACTACCAATGTTATATCTTCCACTGTCAGTCGTATGGCTGATACTGACATAATCACCCATAATCATTTACCTTTACCTTTACCTTCTTTCCATGTCGAGTCTTCCACTGAGTTCTCCCATTACTTGTACTTTACCTACTATCAAAGTTATGTCCTCCATTATAGGTAACATAACATGTACAAGGACCCACTCTGACACAATCACTCACAAGTCAGCCAATAACCTATCCATTGATAAATGCACTTCCCCAACCCCATCTATTAAACCCATAGACCTCATTCTACGAAAAATTATTAGATTATGCTGGTCTATTTGACATTTGGTGGACTAATTTAATTAAAACCTTCCGATCATAAAACTTTGTAATTTATTAATATATTCTTGTGAGGCCATTTTCTCAATCCGATAGTCTTTATTTAACTTATCCACTAAGTGTTAATGGTCCAGAACTATCTAATAATTTCTCCCATTCCACCCCTATCTTGGGCTGACGTTGCCAAGAATTCGCACCCCAAAATTTCATTAAATTTTATTCACCATTCACAACCTACTAATGGAATCATATCCATACCACATGACATTGAGTAAACTGAACTCTCCCATAGGAAAACCAGCCTACTTGGCTATTTCTTTCACAAGACTCTGCCATTTGGCATGGTTAATGATCTCTCCAGTTTCCTCTGGTCTGACAAATGTCTCCTCAAAGTTACCAGCTCGAAGAAGGGACTATTTGAGTTTTACTTTTCTATATTTGATCACTGCAATGCAATCCTCTTTGAAGGGCCTTGGTTTTTTTTCCAATAAGCATTTGGTTCTCAACCATT